GGATTTTTTTGTCTTGCATATTAGACATGAAGGAAGACCCAGAGACCCTGCTGGCCCTGGAAAGAGCAAAAATAATTGCCCAGTATGATCAGGTGAGGCCCAGGAGGAGATCCGAGCTCTAGGAATAGGTACGGCCCAGGCGAGGGACCCCATGGCTGGCAGGAGCAGGTGAGGTCCAGGCGAGAATCATAGGGAGCAGAGGCAGGTGAGGCCCAGGTGGGGATCCCACAGCAAGAGCAGTGATGTCCCAGGTGAGGATCACAGCTCCAGGAGCAGGTGGGACCCAGGGTGGGAATCATACAGCAGGAGCAGGTGGGTCCCAGGTGGGATCACACTGCAGGAGCAGGTGGGGCCCAGGGGGGATCACACAGCAGGAATAGGTAGGGCCCAGGGGGGATCACACAGCAGGAGCACTGATGTCCCAGATAAGGATCACAGCTCCAGGAGCAGGTGGGGCCCAGGTGGGATCACACAGCAGGAAGAGTCATGTCCCATATAAGGATCATAGCTCCAGGAGCAGGTAGGGCTCAGGTGGGATCACACAGCAGGAGGAGGTGGGGCCCAGGTGGGATCACACAGCAGGAGCAGGTGGGTCCCAGGTGGGGATCACACAGCAGGAGCAGGTGGACCCAGGTGGGATCACACTGTAGGAGCACTGATGTCCCAGATAAGGATCACAGCTCCAGGAGCAGGTGGGGCCCAGGTGGGATCACACAGCGGGAACAGTCATGTCCCAGATGAGGATCACAGTTCCAGGAGCAGGTGGGGCCCAGGTGGGATCACACAGCAGGAGCAGGTGGGGCCCAGGGTGGGATCACACAGCAGGAGCAGGGGAGGCTGTCAGGCTGCTCCCGTTCAGGAAGGTGCGTCCTCATCCCTCAGTCTGTGCCCATTGTCGCAGGTTCCAGAGCTCCCTCAGGACAGGGGAGGGAGGAGCCGCCCTGTGCCCTCCTGCCCCTGGTCCCTGGCTCTGGCGCGCCCTCACCACGTTGCCCCCTCTGGGTTGCAGGGACGCCAGGCAGGGGTTCCAGTGGATCCGCAGGAAGACCCCGAGCTCCCCCTTTCCAAGGTCACCGACCGCCTCGGTTTCCTGCAGTGAGTCACCTGGACGCCCGCTCTTTTCATCTCAGGGATGGTTTCTGTTGGTGGAAACCCCTCTCTGGAGGCAGGACCCGTCTCCCCAGCTCAGAGCCTCGTCCCCTGGTTGCCCACTGCAGTCCAGGGTCTACAGTCGGCTCCAGCTGAGAGACCAGAAGGGGTCCTCAGAGTGGTGGGCAGGGTGGAGCAGGGCCCTGGCCGGGCTGGGACACTCAGCAGTG